CAACAACAACAACAGCCACATCAACAACAACAACAGCCACATCAACAACAACATCAACAACAACAAAATCATCAACAGCGGCCTCTCTTGCAAAAACATAAAGCAGCAACAACTACAACATCGCAACAACAGTTGCCATTAAATCAACAATACCATTCGCAACAACAACAACAAACACATACATCATCTTTTTCTTCAAACTTTCAAAAGATAATTCGGGAAGTAAATCAACAGGAAACGTTTCAACAATTTTGCCAACAACAACAACATCATCATCATCATCATTTTCACCAACAAAATCACCAACAGCAACCACATCAACAACAACATCAACAGCAGCAACAACAACGGAGAGAAACCCTGGCAGATTCTTTTCATCTAGAACAACGTAAACATCTCGATAACGACCAGAACAACAACAACAACAAAATCAGCAACAACATCAACAACAATAACAACATCAGCAACATCAATAACATTAATAGTGACAATAATTCTTGTAGAGAAGATGACAGGAATGATGATGAAGATGACCATGCTACTTGCAGCGACATTAAAGAGAAGATGATGATGAAGGGGAAGAGGATGAGAAAGATGATGATGACGAGAGAGGCAGAGGGTAGAGATAAGCATGGCAAAGTGAGTAAATGATTAATTGAAGCTCTTGCAAATAAGTACCTCGTGTGATATCATTACGGATTTGTCGTCATCATCGTCGTCATCATCATCCTGAACATCATTACCATGATCGTCATCACCATCATCTTCATCACTATCATCTTCATCACCATCATCTTCATCACTATCATCTTCATCACCATCATCATCATCGTTACAGCGCGTCTCGCTCACAATCAACTAAGTGAAAGGTTGAGACATTTGGCTTTCAAACGAATGCACGCACAAACACGTACACACGCACGCATACACACATATTCGCACGTACATGGGTTCATTTATCTCGCTAATGAAATATATTAGCTTTTCTCATCTTAAAATTTTTTTCACTTCTGGGTACATGTGATGCACTTATTTTTAGCAACATTTGATGTGCGCTCGTGTATGTGTAGATATTATTCTAGCAACATTTGATGCACATAAGAGGAACTAAACAGCTCCTAAGACTGACCCTCTTGACTGACATCCGTCGTAACTGTTTTGTAAAACGTCTTTAAATACAACTCATTTGAGTGAGACCTGACATGCGAGAATCAAACGAAGCCAGTGCAGGACCTGAGATAGCAACATGGTACTCCAATCAATCTAGAAGTATTTTCTGATTCAGGCAAAATCGAAAGCAGACGACGTGCCGAGAGATGACAGTAACGATATTTTCTGGCAATCCTATGTAAACTTGACAGAACATGCGGTAGGAGGCTGTCTCAGTCGAGTGGGATAGTCTGTAGCCGCCAGACTGTTGGTTGAATTGTCATTAGGTTGTTGTCTGTTGATTAGTTTTACAGGCTTGTCACAGCAACCTGTTCAAGAATTTCAGAGGTGAATGAGAAATTTTATATTGGCCGATAAACATTGACGTTGTTAGGGTATAAGTTAGTTTTCTTGCTCGTAGCTAGAAAGAAATCTCTCGAAGTTTAAACACAAATTAAAGAAATTTGTGAGAATACAGTTGAATAAATCCAAATACTTTTTAAAAATGTGTCTTGCCATAGAGCCTCAAGAACATATCTTTGGCGTTCAGTTAAGTGTAATATTTTAAAGGTGTAATCTCATTAACTAGCAGAGAACTAGGCAGTGAAAACTTTGAAATGTGCATGTATGTGTGTGCGTGTGTGCGTGTGTGTGTGTGTGCGTGTGCGTGCGTGATTCTTCATAACTATGGCAGTTCAACGTTTTGTTTACGAGTCTTTTACGGTGGTCTCTATAAGACCATGGACAGATGAGGGCGATGATGAAGACGACGACGACGATGATGGTGATAAAAAATTATGATTCTTATATTATTATTATTATTTTAATTATTATTATTGCTATTATTATTATCTTTACTTTAATCCATTTTGGCAAAAAAACTCCTCTTTGCTTTGCCTGGAATCATCCGTAGATCATGATTTAATGGTAAAGCCTCATTAGGCGAGAAAGAGAATTCAGGATTAAGATTAATTTTTATTCATAAAATAAAATACTGCTACTGCTACTTCTCTTCAACTGCTGCTGCTACTACTGCTGCTACTAATACTACCGCTACTGCTTCTGTGGCTGCCGCAGCTACTACTTCTACTACAACTACAACTTGTTGCTGCTACTACAACTTCTATACTGCTAAAAATGGGGATAGCAATTTTAAAGACCAGGTATCTCCTTGTCTTCAGAAAAATGTCAAACGTATGGTAGAAAAATAAAAAATTAATAACAATAATAAAAATAATTATATTTATAATTATTATTATTATTATTGTACCTTATATAACAGTTTCAAATGAAAAATAAATTCTCTCTTCTCACTAAAATTGAGCTTCGACATTAGTTTCAATTACATTTTAATAAAAGTCGCGTGAGTGAATTTTCAAAGTCGTCATCATCATCATCATCATCAACGTCGTCGTCGTCATCATTATCCTGATCATCGTCATTATCATTTTTAAAACTGCTCTACAACTACTACTTGCTACCACTACCACTTCCACCACCACTACTACTACTACTATTGCTACTACTACTGCTACTACTACTACTACTACTACTAATATATATATATATATATATATATATATATATATATATATATATATATATACAAAGTATAAAACGTTTTTCCTTCCATTACACAGAAAACTTCTGCTACAGTCGAGGCTCTATCATTCATAGGTAAATTATTATTATAATAATTATAATATAATATTAATATAATAATAATATAAATATATTATAATAAAATATAATTATATTATTATTATTATCAATATTATTAATATTAATGTTAACGTTATCATTATATCAGTGATTACAATTCCATGGTCATTTCAATTTATAAACTAATTGCTTTATGGATCATTCTAAATTTTTGTCTTCATCGTCTTCATCATTATCATTATCATCATTGTCACCACTAAAAACATCATCACTACTACTAGAAACATCATCATCAGCACTAGAAACATCACCATCATCATCAGCAGCACCGGCATCTTCTTATTTATATTAACAGATTGTCAGTGGAACAATGAAGAGATATCGCCATCTTATGCAAATGACTTGAACGTCTATGAACTTGAAGAAGATGACGACGAGGACGACGACGATGAAGGGCGTACTGATAACGATCCCAAGAATTTTTCCCAAGCTGATAGCTCTGTCTTATTTGCCACCAAAGCCAAGATGCGTTATCGCTGTAAACAAAAATTTGATAAGAACGACGTTTGTGCTGATTATGATGACGACTTTGGCGCAAGTTATGATAATAGTATTTATACTACTACTACTAATAATAATAATAGTAGTAATTTTAATACGGTTACTACTACTACTACTACTCTTGCGGCTATTGCTGCTGCTTCTACAACCACAACAGCTACGACCACAACTAAAATTAAGAATAATTTTCGTTTAAAATTTAAAAGATACAAGCGAAACGACGACGACGATGATGATGATGATGATGACTTGGATGCAAAAATATACAGGCAAATGTACAGGCAAAAGTTCTTCGGCGCATGTTCTGATATACAAGAAGTTGATGAGGAGGAAGAAGAAGAAGATGAAGAAGATGTTGATGATAATGATGACGATAATAATAATAACAATAATAATAACAATAATAATAACAAAATTTCAAATTATGAACGCAGTGGTTATAAAAAAACTTTTGCTGGTATTAATACTACTGCTACTACTGCTGCTGCTGCTACTACTACTACTACTACTACTACCACTACTACTACTACTAATAATAATAATAACAACATCAAAGATGCTGATGATGATGATGATGATGATCGTAAGCGCCATCTTCGTTGCGAACCTAATGAGTGCACCAGGCATATTAAAGATCCCCTCAAAATTAAAAATAATAATAATAATAAAAACAACAATAATAATAATAATGATGATAATAATGATGATGTCGAAGATGGCGAGGATGACGTGAACGATGGCGGTAGCGATAATTTAAGACTTTTAAAATATCGAAAGCGCGCCATAGTTAGGCGTATTAATAGGAAAGACAACAACAGCAACAACAACATGAACAACAACAACAACATGAACAACAACAACAGCAGCTGCAGTAGCAGTCTCACAAACAGCAACCTAATTTACAATCCAATCAAGCTGATTTGCGACATACAAACTTATTCCCACTTAACCTACGATAATTTTCGCTTGACCAAGAACAACAACAACATCAACAACAACATCAACAACATCAACAACATCAACAATAACATCAACAACATCAACAACAACAACATCAACAGCAACAACAATGGCGACGACGATGACGACACAATTATTGTTGGCAGACGTAGGGCAGTTGACTCGTCTGACCTTAAGACATGCGCGCTCCTCCAGACAAAGTTCAAACACAATGTCAAGGCCTTACACAATAGAAGCTACAGGTCAGTTAGGTGATTGATTAGCTGGATGATTGATTGGATGGTTAACTGGCTGGTTACTAAGTTGTCGGATTGAAATATCTTTTGATTGCTTGGCCAATTCATTCACTCATTTATTTGTCTTTCATTCATTCAGTCTTGTCAAAAATTCACCATTCTCTGATCGGTTGAATGATTGGTTGAGAAATTGATTGAGAAGTTTATGGTGGGTGAATTAGCGAGAAAAAGTACAAACGAACGAACAAAAAATCAAATGAATTAATGGATGAATGAATGAATAAATGAATATTATTACATTATAACGCTTTTCTGTATTACATTTTTATTGAACTTTTTGTTCATTCTTTCAAAAACATATTTTTCATCCATTAACTTTTTTATTCGTGTGTTATTTATTCTTTTTGATGTCCACTTCCGTTTCCGGTTTATTTTGCTATTTCTCTTTGTCGTCTCTTTTATTTTTTTCAAAACATTTGTCATGCTGAAAGCTTGTTCGCCTGGAACACGTTAAAAACATGATGTAGTGACATGTCCTCTCTCTCTCCCTCTCTCTCCCTCTCTCTGTCTTTCTTTCTTTCTCTCTCTCTCTCTCTCTCTCTTTCTTTGTCTCTTTCTATCCTGTATACTCACGTACATGTATGCACATGTAAGGATATATACATCCTTACATACATAGTATCTTCTTTCTTGCAATGAAAATTGACGAAACCATTAAATATTCAAGTGTGTGTGTGTGTGTGTGTGTGTGTTTGTGTGTGTGTGTGTGTGTAAGTACATGCAAATGAATTTTTCGTGCTACTAAGTTACGAAATGTGGCGAGGTAATTTTTTTAAAACTTCATTCGCTGGGTGGCTGGGGGCGAGAAGAAAAAAAAATCATTTCTCGTTAGATTCATTTGCCAGATGGCAGAGGAGCTGCTTGTTTTGTAAAGTTATTGTTTGCAATGTTAAGTGATGCAAGGGGAATCCATCAAAGCCATTACCATCATCAGTCACTATCGTAGGACCATCTTCATCATCGCCAATGTTAATTGTGATGTCGATGGGGTTTACTTTATATTTTAATCATCATCATCATCGTCCTCATCATCCTCCTTCTACTCATCATCATCCCCATCATCATCATGTTCCTCCTCATCATCTTCTTCATCATCGTCATCATCATCCTCCTTCTACTCATCATCATCCCCATCATCATCATGTTCCTCCTCATCATCTTCTTCATCATCGTCATCATCATCCTCCTTCTACTCATCATCATCCCCATCATCATCATGTTCCTCCTCATCATCTTCTTCATCATCGTCATCATCATCATCAGCGTCCTGACAATCATCATCATGATTACCATCGTCGGCGTCATCATCTTATTTGTAGTCTTCTTTTACTCGATATCTATGTCAACAGTGGCCAAACCATTACCAATATTACGTCATAAACAATACCGTTTGGAAGATGATGATAAATAAATACTCGTCATCATCATCGTCATCATCATCATCTTCATCATCATCTTCATTTTCATCATCTTCGTCATCTCCATCATCGTCATCATCATCGTCATCATCATCGTCATCATCATCATCTTCATCATCATCTTCATCATCTTCGTCATCTCCATCATCGTCATCATCTTCATCATCATCATCATCTTCGTCCTTATCGCTCCCATCATAATGGGAACATCCTTTTATTTTCTAACTCAAAATACCAAATATTAATAATGAAATAATTATAAAATCCTATTTAATAATAATAATAATAATCATAATCATAACAATAAAAATGATGGCAACGATGAAAAGACGATGTGCATGATGATGATGAGGATGATGATGATAGTGAGAAACACGGCTTTAGCATCATTGTATTGATCGTGGGTTTCCATGTATGTACGTACGTACTTATGCATGTTTTGTATGTATGTATGTTTGTATGTATGTATGTATTTATGTACGTACGAATGTATTTTTGTTTGTATGTATACATACGCATACATCACAAAATGTATATATATATATATATATATATATATATATATATATATATATATATGTGAAAAGATTTTTGCCATTTAAGACACTAAGCATCATTATATATATATATATATATATATATATATATATATATATATATATATATATATATATATATATGTGAAAAGATTTTTGCCATTTAAGACACTAAGCATCATTATATATATATATATATATATATATATATATATATATATATATATATATATATATATATATATATATATATATATATATATATAAACGTTTCTCTCTTTTGCTCTCTCTTGCTTTCTCTTTCTCTCTCTCTCTCTTTCTATATATATATATATATATATATATATATATATATATATTTGGGTTCAGACTATATATATATATATTTTCTTAAGACCGTTTTGCCTTATAAGGCTTTTTAAGATGGATGGATTCTTATAAAATATATATATATATATATATATATATATATATATATATAATTTGGTATGAGGTTCTCAGATAAACATGTACGGTTAAACTTCACAGTTTAATAAAGTTGAAACAAAACAGCTTCGTGTTGTTTAAATTTTATTTAAAAAACTTCTAACTGCAAAATGGGTGTAATCTTCAACCGTATATATATATATATATATATATATATAAATGACTTTTTAAAACAACAAATATGAGTTCATTTAGTTTTTAGTTGTTTATGTTGAAGTCTGCATTTATTGGATAATATTAATTTTTATGTTAATGAGATTTTTTGCATGTGATACGGCTGGGTTATAATTAATAATAATAATAATAATAATAGAAATAATAACAAAATTGTGATGATGAAGAGATGATGATGATGATGATGAAGCATTTTTAATGATGATGATGATGATGGTGGTGGTGAAAAGATGATGATGATGAAAACCGTTAGGACGGATAATTATCTCTACCTGGTTAGTTAAGAAATTATGCAGAAATTATTGATTATTATTCATATAATTATGGTAGTAATTATTGCCAGGTTATTTTTACGTATTCTAACTGTAGCTGGTTATGTGAGAAGATGACGATTTTAATAGTAACAATGATTGTGCACGCACGCACAGACAAACAAACATACAAACATACAAACAAACATACAAACAAACATACAAACAAACAAACAAACAAACAAACATACAAACAAACATACAAACAAACAAACATACAAACAAACATACAAACATAAATACAAACAAACATACATACAAACAAACATACAAACAAACACACGCAGTACAATGCACGACCCTAGCTCAACGATGAACAACAACAACAACAGCAGCAGCCTGGAAGAGGATGACGTCACGGACGGCTACCACGCTGCTTACAGCTGTGTCGGCGTGTCCGGCGGGGGTGGGGGCGGCGTGGGAGGGACCAGCAGCTGTAGCAGACGCCAGCAAAGCTGCTGCAAGAGTTGGGTCAGGAAGGGCTGCGGTCTGAGGTCGTTATTCATTTTCAAAGAGGATAATTTCATCCGGAGGCATGCTATGATGGTCATCGAATGGGGATATCTTTTTGAGCGAGATGATGATGATGATGGTGATGATGGTGGTGATGATGATGATAATAATAAAGTGATGATGGCTTTGGGGATGTTTGTAGATACGGTGACGACTAATGATGACGATGAAGACGACGAAAAAAAACCTTTTCCTTATCAAAAACTAATATGACATCATCTACATCGGAATTCCCCTGATCTTGAAAATCCAAATATTTCAACCGACCGACAAACACGCCCTTCGAGTACATGGTCCTGCTGACGATCATCGCCAACTGCGTGGTCCTAGCAATGGAGGAACATCTTCCAGACAATGACAAAACCCCCTTGACCCTTGAACTGGTACGTTGAGGGCTGGTGAGAATCCTGAAAAACATTGGTCGATGTAGTTAGCAGCATTGATGTTTTACTGTTGGAGTTTTTTGCAGAATCAAATTGTTGGAGTTTTTTAACATGTTATGGTGAATCTTACAGCTGGAGTATTTTGCTGAATCAAGCTAGTAGTTTGTTAGCAGATTCGCGTAGCACTCACTTTTCTAAGCCTAAAAATGTATCATTTGCTTAATGAAATCTTAAATTTTGATATCTTGAATGCGTTTTAGTATCTTGAATCGGCCAAGCAGTTTCCAAGTTTGCCTATTGTTACGGAGTGTTTGCTAATAGTTTAAGAATGATACCTGATGTATATGGCACGAAGCATTTTTCAATTATATTTTTTTGGCCAGATGAATTAGATTTAATTAATTTTCTACAGACGCTTTGGATGCTTGTATGTGTGTGAGTGTGTGTGTTTGTATATGTGTGTGTGTTTGTATGTGTGTGTGTGTGTGTTTGTATGAAATTACTAAGGTATATTTCCGATGTTGTCAGAGCACGCCCCAAGCTGTTTGATTAATCATGATGAGTAAACGAATGAATGAACAAATGAATGAACAAATGAATGAACGAATGAATGAACAAATGAATGAACAGTTGAACTAAAGAATTAATGGACGAATAGACAAACAAACGAACGAATGAATGAAGAAACGAACAAACGAACGAACGAACAAATATTTACAGAAGCAATAGCAAAGATATGCATTAATAAGAAGTGCAAACAAGGCAAAACACCGGGAACAATTTTTTAATAATGATGATCATACAACGGATGAATGATGACGATGATGACAATAATAATAATTATAATAATAATTATAATAATAATAATAATTATAATTATAATTATAATAATAAACCAGGAAAAAACAGAAGTGATATTTTTAGCGATTTTCTGCTTGGAAGCCGGCTTCAAAATCATCGCACTCGGATTTGTAATGCACGAAGACTCATACTTGAGGAGTGGATGGAATGTTATGGATTTCATTGTTGTAGTTACTGGGTTGGTTGGTTGGTTGGTTGGTTGGTTGGCTGGTTGGTTGGTTGGTTGGTTGGTTGGTTGGTTGGTTGGTTGGCTGGTTGGTTGGTTGGCTGGCTGGCTGGTTGGTTGGTTGGTTTGTTGGCTGGTTGGTTGGTTGGCTGGTTGGTTGGTTGGTTGGCTGGTTGGTTGGCTGGTTGGTTGGTTGGTTGGCTGGCTGGCTGGTTGGTTGGTTGGTTGGTTGGCTGGTTGGTTGGCTGGCTGGTTGGTTGGTTGGTTGGCTGGCTGGCTGGTTGGTTGGGTTGGTTGGTTGGTTCGTTGGTTGGTTGGTTGGTTGGTTGGTTGGTTCGTTAAATAGTAACATGAAATACTTTTTCAAAATTGTTGTTTGACAGATTGAACAATTAGAGTTGATCGCTTTGTTAATAATCGTTATCATCATAAACAACAACAGCACAATCATCATCATCACAATCATCATCATCACAATCATCATCATCATCTTTCCGATCATCGTCATAACTTACACAGCTTCATCACATTATTTGCGAGTCGCGGTGGAAGTAGCGGCTTCGACTTGCGGACGCTGAGAGCCGTCAGAGTGCTGAGGCCCTTAAAATTAGTATCAGGAGTCCCAAGTACGTGTGTGTGTGTGTTTGTTTATGTGTGTGTTTGTATGTGTGTTTGTGTGTGCGGATGTGTGTGTGTTTGTGTGTGCGGATGTGTGTGTGTTTGTGTGTGTTTGTGTGTGCGGATGTGTTTGTGTGTGTGTTTGTATGTGTGTTTGTGTGTGCGGATGTGTTTGTGTGTGTGTGTTTCTATGTGTGTTTGTGTGTGCGGATGTGTGTGTGTTTGTGTGTGGGAATGCGTGCGTATCTATGCTTACATACAAGCCAAACTACACACACACAAGAACAAACAAACAACA